AAAAAAAAAAAAAAAAAAGCCTAAAGTAAACAAAAGGCAAAACAACAAAACAAAAATTCCTTTGTCCTTTCAAGTAATATTCCACTATATGATTCATTATATCCATCAAATGATGCAATCTGGGTTATCTCTACCTTTAGCTATAATAAATAGTGCTGTTGTAAGCATTTGTATACAGGTGTTTTTGTTGTTTTGTTTTGAGGGGGTGGGTTTTGTTTTGTTTTTGAGACAGGGTCTCGCTATGTAGCTCAGGCTGGCCTTGAACTCAAGTGACCCTCCCTGCCTCAGCCTCCCGTGCTAGGATTACAGGTGTGCACTACCACGCCTGACTCAAAATTTTTTTGTTTGTTTTTTATTTTTTGAGACAGGGTCTCACTCTGTAGTTGAGACTGACTTGGAACTCACTATGTAGGTTGGTCTTGAACTCACAATGATCCTCCTGCCTCAGCCTCCTGAGTACTCGGATTATAGGCATGTACCACCACGCCCGGCAGAAAATAATTTTAAAAAGAAAAAGCTGGAGGAATTTACAAATTATATTTTATAGTAATTGTGTCATTTTACAATCTCACCAGCACTGTGTGAGAGTTTCCGTTTTTCTACATTGTTACTAACACTTACTGCTTGTGTTTTTTGTCATACCCTTCATCGTGGCAATGCAGTAGTATCTAGTTGTGTGTTTTTATTTGCATTTCCCGATGACTAGTGATGTTGAGAATCTTTTCTGTGTTTATTGTCCATTTGCTTGGTTTTTTTAAAGAAATGTATATTCATATCCTTTGCCTTGTTCTTGCTTTATCTTGTATGTCAAGAATCCTTGCCTTTTGACCTCATCTACTTTTCCCTCTTCAGATATCCAGTATAACTATTGTAACTGGTGTTGTAGAGCTTAGGCTGCTGGAATTTGAAATCTGCTTCCACATTTTATTATATCAGTGGTGGTATTCTGGATACTTGGTTTCTCAGAGCCTCAGCTTCCTCAGTATTAATGGAGTTGTTGAATATAAAGTGATTGTAATAGGACCCACCACTTTATGTGTTCCAGAAATGTTATCTCATGCCCATAGGAATTTCCCTCTTCCCACAGCGAGAGAACTGGCTAAGGTGTGAAATCACAGTTGCTGACATTGGCATCAGGCACGAAGGGACTGTGATACCTGAGAGAGGGGAGAAAACGGGTTGCCCCAGCTTAATGCCAAGGGGCAGTGTCCAGGCTGTAGCACGGGGAAAGGAAACCAGCACAGAGCTTGGCGCACCCTTCCTGAGTTGGGACAGAGATTGGAGCCTGACAAGAGAGAGGCACAGTGCTAAAGAGAAAGGAGTGTAACTACAGAACACGAGAGATCGATCTGCATAGGAGTTCCCCTCAGTGTTTTGTCTGTGTAGTGATTTCACATACATTAGATGAAACTCCTTGAAATCCAAGAATGAAACTGCAGAAAACAATTGACTGAGTAATTTGCTGAACTCAAAATTGTATTCCCATCAGCCATAGTGAAGAAACATGTGGTAGGTGACACCTTAGCAAGGGGATTATGGACTTAGTGCTAGAATAAGTATATGTGGTGCTGCCTAGCAAAGTGTAAGGTATGCCTCAGAAGAATCAAACTGATCTGCATGTTATTTAGCTGCATGAGACTAAAGCCAGACACTCCTTGAAGGATCATAACCAAATCCAATACCCAGAAATGGGGGCCGGTGATGTAACTCAGTGGCTCCTTGTCTGACTGGCAACCACAAGGTCCTGAGTTTGGTCCCCAGTACCAAAAAACAAAGACAAATAGTACCCAAAAACTAAAAGTTCCAATGCTTTGCATTCAATCATAATTATCTGATGTGCAATAAAGCAGGATAGGACCAGTAAGCTTAAAAAAAAAAAAACATTAAAATACCTAAAAATGATAATGACAGTGGAGGTAGTAGAAAGGGACCTCAAAGCAGCTATTAGAAGTCCTGAAGTAGATGAGCCCTGTGACCCAGCTAGTCAGAAGACTGAAGCAGGAGGATCACAAATTCTAGGCCATCCTGGCCAATTTCATTTAGCAAGACTGTCTCAAAATTTAAATTTTTACATAAAAATGGCTAGAGATATAGCTTAGTGGTGGCATACCCTTGGGTTCAATCCCCAGTATGGCAAAAAAAAAAAAAAAAGATCCTACAAATACACTGAAGACCATAAAGGAAAATATGAATGTGATGAGACGAGAAATGGTATATAAGGCTGAGGATGCAGCTCAGTGGTAGAATACTTGCCTGGCATGCATAGGCACCTGGACTCAATTTCCAGTACTGGAAATTTTTTTTAAAAAAGGAGGAGAGGGCCAGGGATTTAGCTCAGTGGTTCTGCCACCTGCCTCACAAGCACAAGGTCCTGAGTTCAATTACTGGTATCAAAAAAAAGAAAAGAAAAAGGAGAAAGAAGTATGAAAAATCTAAATGAAATTTCCATAGGTGAAAAGTATCTTAGAAATTTACAGTGTATGAGATTAACAGCAGATGATACTGCAGAAGAAAAATAACAGTGTCTCTATCTAAGACAAGTATTAGAAGTCTTAAATTTATAAACTAAAGAGTACTTCCTTGTAGAGCTTTAGAATATAGTATGAGATAGTCTATCGAGGATATAGTTAGAGTTCCAAAAAGAAGACACAGGAGGGTAGAGACAAAACAAATTTAAATAAAGCCAAGAAGTTTCCAGGTGTAGTGGTACACATCTATAATCTCAGCCCTTGGGAGGCTGAGACAGGGAAGATCGTGAGGCCAGCCTGGGCTACATAGTGAGGTCAAGGTCAACCTGAACTACGTAGTGAAACAGTCCCCCCAAAAAAGGCAAAAAGTTTCCAAGTTTGATGAAAACTATGTAAATGTACCAACAGAAGAAATATCAACAAAACCACACATAATGAAGTTGCTGATTGCTGAAGAACATGAGAAAATTTTAAAAGTGCCGAGGTGAAAAAATACATGTTATCTACAGTAACAAAGATAATCCGAAGATTATCCAAATGACAACCAACTTTTTCAAAAACCTAGACCAGAAGACCATGGAATGACATCTTAACTGTGATGCTGAAAAGAAACCTATTAACCTAGAATTGGAACCCAATTTAGAATATCTATAAAATATAAAGAGTGAGCCAGGCATAGTGGTGCATGCCTGTAATCCCAACTAATCAGGAGGCTGAGGCAGGAGAATTACAAGTTTGAGACCACCTTAGGCAATCTACTGAGATGTTGTCTCAACAGCCCAGCATGCTTAAGGCTGTGCGTTCCATCCTCAGCACTGGGGATGAGTGTGGGGGTTTACACCAAGAAAGTAGAATTCAACACTAGTAGATCTATACTACGGTAAAATTCAGAGAATTATTCAGTGGCCAGGGATTTAGCTCCGTGGTTCTGGCTCCTGCCTCGAAAGTGCAAGGTACCCAGTTCAATCCCCGGTACCAGAAAAAAAAAAGGAGAGAATTATTCAGGCAGAAGAAAATGATATGGGAATTTGAATTAACAGAAAGTAATGAACATTTTCTATGGTAAGTATGTGAATGAATGTAAATGATCTTTTTTCTCATTTTTAATCTTTTTCAAAAATAATTATTTAAAGCAAAATGTATTGTGGGACTCATCATTACAATGTGTAACAACAGGAACACAAAAAAGGGAGAAATAAATGGATAGTTTTGTAAAAGTCTTATGCTATTCAAGGGGTGATCAAAAATACAGTACATTTTTAATCTTTAGAAGATTATTACAGCAAAGTCACATTGCCATTAATCCCCTCAAAAAAGCTCCCCCTCACTTTGAACACGTATGTCATCATCCTTGTCACTTTCTGAAGCAGTTCTGGAATCCTTTTTCATGAGTGGCTTTATGAGGTGTAATTGAAAAACAATATATACAGTGAATAGAGCTTTTGCAAATGGGAAGGGGACCAAGAGTTGGAAGGAGCAGGGAGGGAGAGGAGGGTTAGGGGCATTGGAAAAAAAATTACGATGTAATATATCCATATACCAGCTCCCTACAATAAATGTAATCATTGTGTGCTGCAAAAGTACTAAAAAAAATACAGTAAATGCTGCTGCTGAGTGCCATCCAACAGAAAGGCAGGCTTGTAAAAACATTACAGTGTGTTCTCATCCACCTTATTCTCCAGATCTGGCACCGTGCAACTTCTGGCTCTTCCCCAAAGTCAAAATGACCATGAAAGGTAAACATTTTGAAAAAATTCAGGACATCGAGGCAGCCAGTACAGCGCAACTAAAGACACAAAAGGACTTCCAGAACTGCTTCAAAAGTGGCAAGAATGATGGCATGAGTGTGTTCAAAGCAAGGGAAGTATTTTGAGGGGGATTAATGGCGATGTGTCTTTCAGTGTAATAAATTTCTTTATTAAAAATACATCATAAGCTAGGCATGGTGGTGCACGCCTGTAATCCCAGCACTCGGGAGGCTGAGGCAGTTGGATCGACACAGGTTTGAGACCAGCCTGGACTACATAGTGAGTTTAAGGCCAGCTTGAAGTACAGAGCGAGACTCTGTCTCAAAAAATAAAACAAAAGAAAAATAAAACAGAAACAAAAAAAATCACATATTGTATTTTTTATCATACCTCATACATAGTATAATACTTGAAGATAGGCTATGATAAGTTGAAAAGCAATACTGCAAACCCAAAAGCAGCCACTCAAAAATAGGTATAGCCAAAAGTGGAGGCAAAATCAAATCATAAAAAGTATTGAAGATTTTTTTTTAAAAATGAAGAATCCAAAAGAAATGGGGAAAAAAATGAAACAAAAAAAAAAGAGGGAAATAAAAAACATTTCTAATGCTAATTGTAAGAAACCTACTTTAGTACTGGTGATTTACCTCAGTGGTGCTGTGCCTACCTTGCAAATGAGTCCTGAGTTCAGTCCCTGGTACTGCAAAAAGAAAAAGAAAAAGAAAAAAGAAACCTACTTTAAATATAAAGATATGAGTTAAAAGTAAAAAAAGAAAATTATATACCATGGCTAACGCTATTCAAAAGAAGACTGGAATCACTATATGAGCATCACATAAGTAAATTTTGAGTAAAGACTACTAGGATTGGGGTGGGTCATTTCGTAATAATAGTAGAGTCAGTTCTTCAACAAGATAGAACAACTAAATATTTGTGTACCTAATAACAATTTTAAAGCATATGAAGCAAAACCAATAGGATTAAAAGGGGACAGAAACACCCACAACTATAATTGGGAACTTCAAGACCTTATTTTCATTAATTTGTAGAATAAGTAGAGGAAAACAGGAGAGAGAAGACTTAATTAACACTATCAGTCAACTTGACCTAATTGATATAAATTGATATTTATAGAATATTCTCCAACATCCGTAGAGTAGAATACACATTTTTTGAGTGCCTATAGAACATTTATCAACATTTATATTCTGAGTTGTAAATTAAATTTCAGTAAACATCAGGTGATTAAAATGATAAAGACTCTGACCTGAAAAGAATTAGAAACCATTAACAAAGATAATCTGGAAATTTTCAAGTACGTACTTTGAAATTCAGCGGCACATTTCTAGATAGCTCATAGATCAAAGAAGAAATTACAGGAGAAACTAGAAAAAAATAGTGGTGTGTGTGTTTGTTTTTGACAGTACTGGGCTCTAGCCCAGTACTGGGCTTTGCACTTAACTACATCCCCAACATTTATTTTTTATTTTGAGAAAGGGTGACAACTAAATTGCCCAGCCTAGGCTTGAGTTTTCAGTCATCCTCCTTCAGTCTCTGATTAGCTGGGATTATGTGCATGTGCCACCATACCTGGCTAGAAAATGCTTTGAAATGGATGAATGCAAATAATGTATCGCTGTTGTAGTACGCAGGCAACAAAGAAAGACAGCACTAAACACCTATATCAAATGAAATATGTCAGAGCTAAACCTCTACTTAAAGAAACTAGAAAGAAAGGAAATGTGCCTTTTACTAATGTTAAGGAAAAGTTCTCATATGGGTCTTTTAAACATTGAAAGGTTAATAAAATTATGAACATTAGACTGGGTATGGCATATCCTCCTCAGGAGGCTGAGGCAGGGGGATTGCTGCAAAATTTAGACCAGCCTGGACTTCATGGTGACACCCTGTCTCAAAAAAAAAAAAAAAAAAAAAAAAAAAAAAAAAAAAAA